AGACCACACGCACAGAGGACAGCAAAATTAACTGATAAATTGTGTGTTCTGACTGCCCCACTGTCTTTGGCTGTCTCACTGGCTGCCCCCAAATCAGCCATTCCCTATCTTTTTCCTTCTCCTCGGGTCTCCCTTTACCCTGAGACACAACAATTTTGAAATTAGGCCAATTAGTAACCCTACGATGGCCTCTAAGTGTCCAAGTGAAAGAAAGAACCACACGACTCTCACTTTAAATCAAAAGCTAGGACTGACTCAGCCTAGTGAAGAAGACATATTGAAAGCCAAGACAGGTCAAAAGGTAGGCCCTCTTGCACCAAACGAATAGCAAAGTTGTGTATGCAAAGAAAAGGTTCTTGAAGGAAATTAAAAGTGCTACTCCAGTGAACACAGAAGTGATAAGACAGCCAAATAAACTTAATGCTGATATGGACGAAGTCTTAGCAGTCTGGGTAGAAAACCAAACTAGCCACGACTTTTCCTTAAGCCAGAGCCTAATCCAGAGCAAGAACTTACCTCTCCCCAACGCTATGAAGGCTGAGAAAGCTGATAAAGCTGCAGAAGAACAGTCTGAAGATTAGTTCATGAAGTTTATGGAAAGAAGCTAAAAGTGCAACATGATGCACCAAGTGCTGATGTAGAAGCTGCAGCAAGTTATCCAAAAAAATCTAGCTAAGATCGTTCATGAAGGTGGCCACGTTGAACCATAGGTTTTTCAATGTAGATGAAACAGCCCTCTATTGAAAAAAGATGCCACCTAGGACTTTCATAGTTAGAGAGGAGAAGTCAGTATCTGGCTTCAAAGCTTGAAAGGACAGGCTGATCCTCTTGTTAGGGACTAATGCAGCTGGTGACTATAAGTTGAAGCCAAAGCTCATTTACCACTCCAAGGGCCCTTTCCAGTTATGCTAAATCTATTCTCTCTGTGCTCTATAAGTGGAACAACAAAGCCTGAATGACAGTACATCTGTTTACATCATGGTTTACTGAATATTTTAAGACAACTGTTGAGACCCACTGCTCAGGAAAAAAAAACAGATTCTTTTCAAAATACGACTGCTCATTGACAGGCACCTGGTCACCCAATAGCTCTGACGGAGATGTATAATTAGATTAATGTTGTTTTCATGTCTGCTAATACAACATCCATTCTACAGCCCATAGAGCCAGGATTAAGTTCAAATTTCAAGTCTTATTATTTAATAAATACATTTCATAAGGCTCTAGCTGTCATAGATAGTGATTCCACTGATGGAGCTGGGAAAGTCAGTTGGAAAGCTTCTGGAAAGGATTCATCATTCTAGATGCCATTAAGGACATTTGTGATTCACAGGAAGAGGTCAAAACATCCGCATTAACAGGATTTGGAAGAAGTTGATTCCTACCTTCCTGGATGACTTTAAGTTTCAAGACTTCAGCAGAGGAAGTCACTGCAGGTGTGGTGGAAATAGCAGGAGAACCAGAATTAGAA